TACGCATACAGGAGGGAGACTTCAATTCTTGAGTTTTTCTTAGAAATAGGAGCAGATTTAAAGTTTTGGTAAGGCAATAATAGAATTAATGAAGGTCTTAAACAGTGCCATGAATCTCATACAATTTTTATGTAATTATTTGAAGGCCCCCAAATGAAAGAAATGTAAGAAGAAATAGTGCTATGTAAAGACTGTGTGTCACATGGTTTCTTTGCGGTGTTTAGCTTGGTTTTTTTTTCATTCATTAAATTCTCTTTGTTAAATTTAGCAGATACCAAAGCTTTCCACATTACTTAAGACAATAATTTAACTCACAAAATAGACACATCTGCAACTTTATTAATAACCAACTTTTTTTTTATTAGAGCATATACATTTGTGAAAACTGTACATTATACATTTTGGTTTCAAGGATTATAAATAAAGGAACTCACAGGTAGGGAGTTCTTTTCACAGCAATAAACTTTAAATAAACAAAGTCATGTTTTATTAGGTACAATGACAGACTTCATGTGCTGTCCAAAATGTAGTGTACAGTATAACAACCCATTAGAAAGAGCCTTTCATGTAAAATACAGCTGTGCACATTTTAGAAAAATACCAACGATTTGAGCTTTGTTTTAAAAAAGCTTATAAATCATACATATATTTATAAATGGAACCAACATGCTCACCTTATAAACATATCCTTTAGTTTTCTATTACCCATTATGTCCAAAGTGATACATATCTTAAATAAACTTAATATGATTAAATAATTTTATCTTTTTAAAAAAATCTGCTTTCTCAGCATAAGGAGCTTTGGGGTCAGGAAGGAGCAGTGAGAATATTGAGACCGACAGGAACTTAAATGTTTGTTCGGGTGAAAACAGACTTCCTAAATTTAAGAGTCAAAGCAAAATGTAAAAAATAAAAAAATATACAAGTTGTAAATTTTATTTGCTCTCTCTCTGCTTTCTTCTTTATTCCATATAGGTCACACCCAGGATTATCAACAGATTGTCCTTTTGCAAATGACACTCACAGGTTACTATCCTGCAGGTGATAAAGCATTCAGTCCACACCTGTGCTAACTTCAGAACTGCCTCTTCTGCATTGAAAAGGTAGCTAAAAGGTAAAAAGAACTTCTGATTGAGCCATGCACATCTCAAAAGTAGTTAGGAACAGCTTCTCATCTATAACGTAGTGTTTTAAAGAGACTTATTTAATAAGACACCTTTCCTCCCTTGATTTCTTTTCCAAGAATTACTTTTATAATGACCACTGTAGTTTCTCTAAGTAAGCATGCTTCTGAACAAGAAAGAATAAATTATAAAACATCAAAAAATCAGATTATTTCAGAATAACAAAGGACTTCAAAAGAGAGATATGTAAAATAAAAATGTCTGAGTTTTTAAAATGTGAAATAAAATTACAAATAGATTTTGAAAAACAAAAAAGATATAACTGTGAAGCAGTGATTTAACAAAGCTCTATGCTCTAACAGTATGTGCTCAACAAAAAAGTTGGGGGGTAAATGGAAGAAAAAAAGAGAAGAGCAGTTATTAATAGCATCTTGTTTAACTTTCATGGGAATTAACATAGCCACTGACAAGATTTTATTCGGTTGTAAAGTATGTCAGCAATGAAACTTAATCCTTTAAACACTGATTACTGCAATCCATGCACAATTCAGACTAAATTTCTCAGAATACTGACATCTTTCTGCCTCTAAAATTTAGCACCTCTTAAGTGCACATTTAATTTGCTGTATTTCTGTTAAAATATTTAAAATGAAAATATTTCTTAGGAAGATAACACATTCAAACTGCTAGATTGCAAAGATAGCCTTTTACAGATTTAAGGAGAATACATGACATGAAAAATTATGCATTTGTATCAAAATAAACATTTTCACTATCATTTCTTTGTTGTTGCTTCTTTTCCTTGAGATGCAAGAAGTGTGCTTCGTCTGGCCAGGACCACATGATGTGACTCTATATCATATTTAAAGAAATAGCAAAAATGAGCATAGTCATGCACAAGCAAAGGAAACGTTCTCTCCCAGAACATTCCAGGAGATGTTAAAGCAGCAGGTCATGGCATAAGACTGGTGAGTGATCCTGCTACCTATTTCTTCTACTGAGATAGGAGTGAACGTTGGAACCACCTCCACAGCAACACAATCCTGCGACCGCATTCCTCGGGCAGTCCTTTCTCAGCTCCCTATTAAAAACGTCAGACCATAAAATAGTAGGCAGCTGTTGACTTCCATCAATTTAAAAAAAAAATGCAGCTCCATACATTTCCAGTTTAGTCACTCTGCTAGGACAGATGGAGTAGCCAATGCCAAGAACTTCGCTGGATGGGGCTGCTTCAGTAGATTTTAAAAAAGAATTATTAAGTTTTGCTCTCCAACTTGGCTGCTTGCTTCAGCCCTCAGAGGAACCCAGAGCCACAGAGATCTCCCAGAGGGAACTGAACAGGTCCTCTGGCTGACTTTTCCAGGTTTCAGCTCTCTCGCGATCCCATCCTAATTCCAAGCCTCCTTCCCCGAGTTTCAGTCTGACTGAGGTGTGCCACTTAAAAGGCGGATGACACCACTGTAGAAAACTGTGGGCTAACACCACTAGTTGTCAAGACTTCACCGAAGGGTCAAAAGAGTTACATCATTAAGTAACTATGCTGAAACGCATCCAGGCACAGTCAGTTAAAGTGGAGGACAATAAATAGATGTAAAAAATATTTGTAAATTTGGATATGAGAAAATGTTAAATAGTGTGATGTTACAGAGAAATTAAGGCTATTTTCTTACCTTTCCTAATTCCAATCAAGTTAGAAAGTGAACAAAAAGAATGGCTAATCCGATATTCAACAGCATAACCAGGACGATCATGACTGAATTAGGGCCCTGGAAAGAAAGGAGAATAAAACAAGTGTAATTTTCCCTCCTCATCACAAAGTCAACTGTGTTTGCACACACACCTCCCCAACCAAAAAGGCTTAGATAAATTAGGCACGAATAATGACAACAGTTCCAAAAGGTATGAAGTAAAAATAGCTATAGGCTAGACTTAGATGGAGCAATTTATGAACTTTCAATTAGGAGTGAGTTAAAAAAATCTAAAGATTCCTTAAAATAATTTACTCATGGATCTCAGAACATGAGATGACAGTGGGATGGAGATGACACTGTGGCTATAGGGTCATGGGAACTGCACTTATTCCCATTTACTGTTCGCTCAAGCATTATTCAGATAAGGAAGACCACTTTCTTCACAAAGGCAGGTGGAATCTGAGGGTGGCATCTGGAGAGCAATAGTCTCTAAGGGAAACTGCTTTCTCTTGGTCCTTTTGGGGACAGTACTCCTTTAAAGTAAAACTACATGTGGAAAGATAAACACTTTCTGAAATTATTTTCAGGTTGAATTTTTCTTTTTCAGCTGGCAAATCACAACATTCTGAAATAAATTTATCTATCTATCTATCTATCTATCTATCATCTATCTATCTATCTATCTATCTATCTATCTATCTATCATCTACCCATCTATCAATTTTGTTTTGATAAATACGGGTTCTGGTGGTCTAGTGGTAAGTTGCACTTCAATGCCAAAGGCATGCAATTTGAGTCTACCAGCTGCTCTGCAGGAGTATGATGGGCAATCTCCTCCTGTGTGATTTACTGCCTGTGAAAACACACTGAAGGGTAAGCTGTGGACTGGTTCTGACCTGACAGTACTTAACAATAACAACTAGTTCAAGATAACGAAACTCTTTTATTTTAAATTAATACCTTATATAAAACCCACCTTTTCAAATCTAGTCATGAAGACACAACCGTGGTATTTATAATTAAGAAGTATAGAATTCTTGAGTAGCATTAAAAATATCGTGAAATGACTGTTTAAATGTGTTTTACTGCCCTTAAAGGGGGAGAGAATGTCCAATTGCAATCAGAAAAATTCTTATTTTCTAGGGTCTATAATTAATTTCTAGGGAGCTCTGGTGGCCTAGTGATAGGGAGTTGTACTGCCAACCTGAAGGCACACTGTTCACATCCACCAGCTACAATTACTCCATGGGAGAAGGACGGGCAATCTCTCATGAAGTTCCCAGCCTCTAAAAACCACCGGCAGGTCAGACAATAGTTTTGACTTGACACCATATAACAGCATAATTTCTGTAATATCAAAACAAATGTTGATAATGGCCAGTAAATATTTTGGAAAACTATTTACCTTAATAACAGTCCTTCTCAATAATGGTTAGCTTGTTGTTATGTGCCACTGAGTCACTTGTGATTCATAGTGACCCTATGTACAACATCTCTAAACCCTGCTCTGTCCTGTGCCAATTGCACCACCTGACACACCCACCCCGATTACCCCAGTCACTGAATCAATCCCTCATAGAAGGCCTTCCCCTCCTGCCCTGTCCCTCTACCCTCCCAAGCAGGACGTCCCTCTCCAAGGACTGGTCCCTCCTTGCAACATGTCCAAAGTATGTCAGACAAAGCTTCAGAATCCTTGCCTCCAAGGAGCAGCCTGGTTTAACCCTCTCCAGGATGAACCTGTTCGTTCTCTTAGCAGTCCATGGTATATTCAAAATTCTCCAGCACCATAGCTCAAAGGCATCAATTCTTCTATCCTTCCTAGTCATTGTCCAATTCTATGGTTAACTTAGGACATATAAATAATATGAGCCTGTTTAACTCAGAAAAAGAACGGAAATGATCATCAGAACACAGCTTAGAGAGTAATGAGGGCTATTACTTCTATATGCTCTGATTAGCTTTTGTTCATGGGTGTGCTAAGAACTCGGAGAACCATTTCATGTCCTTTGGGTTCTAACTGATAGTCCCCAAAGGTAACAGTGATACAAAAGAAGACCAAGAAAAGTAAAGTCATAAAACTATAGTTTTATAGCTTTGCAAGAAAAGAAATAGGAGAGAAGAGCAAACATTATAGTTATAGGTTCGAATCCATCAGCTGTTCCATGGGAGGCAGCCTCCTCCATAAAGATCTACAGCCTTGAAAACCCAGCAGAGGGTCACACTGTGGATGGACTATGAGTCAGAACTGACTCGACAGGAGTGGGTTTGACTTATCCAGCATATACACAGGCCTCTCTGCACTGAGGACACATTGCTGCCTTACTGTTGGGTCAGTTTGACTCAGAGGCACCCCAGGCATGCAGAGTAGAACTGGTTCAGAGTTTTAAAGGCTGTGACCTTCTAGATACTGATCTCCAGGCTTACTAGCCAAGTGGCCTCTGGGTGGGTCGGAATCACCAACCTCTGAGCTAGTAGTCATGCACTTAACCCTTTATGTCATCTACTGAAAACATGGGTTTATCATAGAAAAAGAGTATGGCTCCTTTAATAAAGCTATTTTCACCTGTTATTAACTGTGATTTGCATGAAGGTTTACAGGGAAAATTTGATTTTTCATTCAGTCATTCATACATATTGTTTCAGAACACTAATTACAATGCCCATAGTGTAATCTCACTTTCCCCACTTCCTCTCTGTCATTCTCAATCCTTCTATCCTACCCTTTCCTGCCTCATGGGTGTGGAAGTAAACTAGCAATAAAAGGTTCAAACAGCAGCAGGTGATAAATTCTGGGGAGCAATGTTTAGGAGGCAGTCATGAAAACATGACCTTCTGTGTTCTTCAGCTACCTGGCCTGAGCACAGGCTGGGAAACTTTAAGGTGAAGGCCCATAAATGTGACCCTGGTGGCCAGTGGGAGCTTAAAATAGCAAAATAAAAAAAAAAAGGAAAAGCAGCAGTCTTGCTTCTCAAGACTGACTGGGACAGGTGCAATAAAAAGCTGTTGCAGGGCAAAGCGCATGCCTGTCTTGACTGGAAGAAGACTTTCCAACAATTGGAAAATAAATGCTGGAAGTTGAAAACTCTGGAAAAATGTTTAACTCAAGATTTTTTTTTTTATAAAAAAAGTTTAACTGTTGCTTATTTAAAACTATGAGGAATTTTCTGCTGGTAGCATTAGAATTATTTACAACTATCCTCTCAAAAGGGTATTATTAAATTAGTGTCAATGGCAAAAGTTTAATTATATTCATCTACTTTCTTTCTTTTATTTAACTTTTAACGTGATGTTCAAACCCTACAGGACAGAGATATTTAAACTTTATATCAGCTGAAAACAATGATAAAGTGAATCTCAAAATGATCCTGGATGCTGATCAGAACGGTGGCTGAGAATAAAAGCTCACACAGTTTTCAGAACTAGTCAGGCTTCTTGACCACAAGACCCCTTCTCCTCACTTACTTGATGTGGCTCAAAAGATCTGTCTACCAGTTCCCACTAGAGCTTCTGTTTCAAAATCCTCCACAGCTTTCAGCATCACATTGAAGGGATTCCTAAGGGACGTGAGAGCACACACAGCCAGTGCCCACACAGGTCACAAACTTCCTGAGGAAGGTGGTAGAGTAATCCCTGCCAGAGCTCCGTTCTCCTGCTGCTCATACTGCTGTAATTCAGCTGCTCTGAGATTCAGCCTGGATCTCAGGGTACTTTCTGTATACCTAGATCAGCGCTTCCACTGTTCACCCTGATGCTGAATCAGAATCTACTAAAATGTGCCATCTTTATGTTTTAGCAGTGTCAGTAGCCAATGCTTTTGAGTTATTTTCTAATAGTACTTTGTAAGTACTTTGTTAGGAAACCTGCTCCAGGTCACACAGCTGTAAGAAAAGCAAGGCTGGGATTTGAATCAAAGAAATTTGGCATCAGAGCCCATGCTCTTAATCATTAACCTACACTGCCTCAGTGACAGAAGATGGGTGACTGGAAGTCCAGATTCAGTTTAGTCTTCCACCCTAAAAATGGCAATTCTGAATCAAACTGGATCTTTCTGTCACCCCTTAAAAGCACTTTTGGATTAATTTTGGTTTTCCCTTAAATGTCTGTTTTATTTTCAGTTTGTTTTGAAAAACTGTTTCAATTATTATTTATCAACATGTAACATAACTGCTTTCCCATCTCAAAACATTGGTAGTACTCTAGTTTCAAAGGTAATTCACTACTTTTATAACAATTGTGTCCTTTTACTTTCTAGGAAGAAAACAGTTGTCAGCATTATGAAAGGCAGCTTTCTGACTCTTCAAATGAAGGTGCCCAGCTCATCCTGAATTCTGCTTCCTGTCACAGCAGAGACAGGCTAAGTTGGGGAGGCCAGGCCCACCTGAGACTTCTCTCTCCACTGGGCAGGGGAAAGGAGCCCTCGTGACCGCCAGGCCCTAAGCAAAATGCGTTGACACAGAGAGTTAGTCAAGAGGATTCCATACATAAGTCACACAGGTGCTCTTTCAAACACTGTGTTGTTGTGTGCCATTGTGTCAGAATCAACTCACAGATGACTCTCCAGGGGGTTTTCAGAGGCAGTGAATCACATGGAAGGAGACTGTCCATATTTGTCCTGTAGAGAAGTTGGTGCATTTGAACCATGTGCCTCTGAGTTGGCTGTCACTGGATAGACCACCATAAGGAGGCTATAAATTTACCAAATGTAACTGTGAGCACTATTTCACAGAAAGTTAGCTTTTTTCCCCCTTAAAAAATACTAAAGAGCAAGAATATCTGTTTAAAGACTAAGGGGTATGTGACTCAAGGCATGGTAGTTTCAATTGCTTCACATGCATGCGAAAACTGGAAAAAGAATGAAAAAGACAGAACTACTGATGCCTTTGAGCTGTGGTATTGGTGAAGAATACTGAAAATATTCATTACCCAAAGAACAAAGTAATCTGTGTTGGAGGAACTACAGCCAGACTGCTTCTTAGAAGTAAAGATCGTAAGACTTCAACCTTACATCCATGGAGCATGCTGTCAGGACTGGCCAGTCTTTGGAAAAGGACAGAAGGCTTAGAAAGGGCAGCTAAAGAGGAAGACATTCAACAAGACGGACTTGCACAGTGACTACAACAATGCACTTATGCACAACTGAGAGTATAAGGAGAGTCCAGGATTGAGCAAGGTTTCTATCTGTAGTACTGGGGGTCACTATGAGTCAAGGATAATCTGGTGGCACCTAACAATAATAAAAAATTACTATAATTGTCCTATTAGAATTCAGATATCTGACTTATGAATGTTAAAACAATTGAATAATTAGGCCCCATGAAGTTACTCTGTCTTCAAAATAACTTCTGTCTATGGAGGTTACTTTCAGAATGTTAATCTGATTAACTTATATTTATCAAACTCATTGCCCTTGAGTTGGAACCATTCCTGGCTGGTCTTCCACTGAGTTTCTGAGGTTGTAAACTGAAAAGAAGAGTGCCCATCTTTCTCCCAAGGAGCTACTGATGGATTCATACTGCAAGAGATATATTAGGGTTAACAGAGCTATTTCCTTTGGACTATGCCACCACAGCACCTCATGTTTTTTTTTTTTTAAGTGGGGTAATTTTTAGTTGTGATTTTAATTAAAGTTAGCAGACATAATTAAAAAATAAGACTTTAAAAAAATCTAAGAACTAGAGAACTGTAGATATTAGCAAAATAACTGAAATGTAAGATATATATATATTCATTACAGATTTTAATTGTTTTGCCTATGAGTATACTGAACAAAAAGAAACTAGAGGTTTATTCTTGTCCAAAATGTTAATCAAGACCATTAGACTACTGTGTCTTTACGAAATTACTAGGAACTGACTTTGGCTTCTTCCCTAAGCTACATTTAAGCCCAGTGCCTGTCTTTCAAAGGCATGAAAATTTTCAACAGGTCAGTCAACTTTTCTTTCTTTTATCAATGAATACTTAGCTTCATATTTTTAAAATTCTGTAGACTGATAAAATATTGTCTAAAAGTCATTAAAATAAATCTCATTTGAATAGATTATAGATTTTAATCAATAACACAGTTTCTGACCCAATAATAAAGACCCAGGATGCTGAAGACTAATTAATGATAACAGAGCGGCATCTTCCAGAAGCCTGAAATTGGAAGAAGATATACACTCGGAGTAGTTTTTAAGACCAAAGTAGTACTATTAAGTTATTGAAAATTTTCAGTTCTCATTTGGGAAAGAAAAATGTTCTGGCTACTAATAAAACATAATTAAATATTTATAAGAATAATTCACAAAAGCTAAAAAACAGACAACTGAAATCGTTCTGGTCAGTGGCTTCAACAATTTGTAATTTCGTTCAATTTCTAATCAACTTTATCCTCCTCTGTGACGCTAAATCTATTCCCAGTTTTATATGCTTTTTGCTGATTTTGGGTTTTCTGTCTCATAAATTTTATTTCTTTTTGTTGATAAGAAATTTAAAAATGGAATTTTGATGAATTTCAGTTTAGTTTTATATTGTCAGGAATTAAAAACAAATATTAATAGAGTAAAAAACCTAAAGAAACAAAATAATAAAAAAAAAAACAGCAAGGCTGGCAAGTCTTGCACTTGTTTTCTTTGGCCATATCATCTGGAAATACCAAATACTAACTAGTTAAAGAACATTATGTTTGGAAAAGTAGAAGGTCTGAGAAAATGAGGCAGATCGTCAATATGGCGGACTCACAGGATGACTACAACAATGAACTCAAACATGAAAACTTAAAGCTTCAAGTTTACTTAAGACTAGCTGCATTTGATTCTGTTATATATAAGGTCACCACGAGTTGGAGCTGACTAAATGACAACTAACAATATATTTTTGCTTTGTCAACTATTATGGTTCTTTTGTTTAAACATACTGTTGCTTCCCGGCCAACGCACAAAACAACAACAACAACAACAACAACAACAACAACAAACACATACTGTTGCTGAGGTCAAAAGGAGGACCAAGTCCTTAGCAAATGATTGAAGAGACTTCCTCCTCCCTGAAGCACTGAGAATGGCAGGCCCTTGATCACTTTTTAGCCATGAGCAAATTTGCTACCATGGTTTAAAGTAACGGAAGTGCTGGTAAAGGGTCTGACTGCCAAAAACACGACACTGCAATAAAATGGTAAGGACTCGTCAACCTGGGTTTTGTTTAAGGTGCGTGGTCTAGGGAGGATGGAGGGATTTATGCCTGAGAAGTCGAGATATCCCAAGCTAGGAATGTGTTAAGAATGTATTAAGACTAAACTTCTGTTTGCTTAATAAGATGCACAGAAAAAACTGCAGGCTTTTACAAATTATTTGGATTATAGTTACCTTTCAGTCATATATTTCTCATTTTGATATTTATGAATATTATTCAGTTTACAAATAAAAATGTGTAAAAAAAATAAAAAAACAAAAACAAACAAAAAAATATGTCAGACATGGAAAACTTACTGAATTGGCTTCTTTTTCCAAAGAAGGGCACGAATTGCTTGCTGGATTCTTTGGTATTGCAAGTTCAGACTTCTTAGCTTTTGGCTCAGCTTTGCTTTCTTTGGCAACTGGTTTTGTCAAAGATTTGGAGGGACTCCACTTATTGTGCACCAGTGCTGAAGAGGACTGACTAGACCCCTCGCCTTCCTCCGTATCTTCTGGAGGGTACTGGGGTGCGTTCAGTTTCACGTAGTAGCCGTGATACTGGGAATGCAGCTCCCCATTACCAGGGTTGGGGATGTGGTGGCGGCCGGAGTACTTGGACTGGGGGACGACTGCTCCCATCAAGGGCTTATTGACAATGGCCATCACTTGCTCGTCAGACACCCTCCTTCTGTATGAACTGAGTCTTGTCCATGACCTGTTGTTTTGCTTCTTCTGGGGTTTTGGGCAGGGAGGCTGGGGAAAATGGCTCTGCTTGGGACTTGGCTCAGGAGACCTTGGGGGTGTCGTGCCTTTGCAATAAAAGTGAGGTGATTCCTTTGGTGATGGTGGCTTTTCTGGTACCTTCTCTTCTGGATTTTCTTTAGCATCTACACCTTCCTGAAATCTCTGCTTGATGTAATCTGGACCTGCATAAAGAAAAAGCAGTAGAATCAAAGTGAGAAGATAAAAATTAGGGGGGAAGTCTTATATGTTATCACTCTAACTATATCTATATAATAAATATTTTATATATAAACTTATTAATAAATATATGGAAATTACACATATTTTCCTAAGTCAGACTTATCTTTTTAAAGCTTACTTACAGGCCTTTGTAAACACATTTTATTCCTCTATAGGAATTATATAATGATGAAAAGATGCTTTTGAAACAGTATATACCATCATGTTCATTTTTTGATAGACATGAAAGTTAAAAGTTTTGATTCTTTCAGTAATTTCAGTGTTGATAATACTTGTAAAGCCCACAGGTAGATTCATCTCAATGGAGCACTGGTGGCAAAAACAGTTCATTAGCTTATTTGAATTATATCACATACTAAAACACTGAACACATCCACTTCAATAAAGAAATGTGCTGACTTTTACATACGTCTGAAAAATTAATAAAGTATCCACACTGTAAGAGGATCTGGAGATGGCCTATTTTTATGATCTTCATCAAAGGGTCATTTAGACATCCTAATTAGGAATATTTCTCTGGTTTACGTTGCAGTGCATAAAATAACTTATAACTTAAGAGTCGTCCTTTCACGTCTGTGAAACCAAGGATTCATGTTTGGCGGTATTTCAAGGGGCAAAAAATGGGACAAAGTGGTTGTCTATGGTCTGCATTCTCAGGAATGTTTTCCCTTTTTCTTTTAGAGTTGCTTGTAACCATCATGTTATTTTTATCAATAAGTAAATTTTCATTTCCAAAAAGTAACACTGGTATATTATTGTTTTATGGGGAGATTTGGGGGACAGGCTAAGAGCAAAGGAACAAAATGATCATAGGATGTTGAGGGTTTGGGGGGTTTTCAGTGTTCCAAATCAATGCCCTCTTTTTAAGTACTTTACCTCTTAATGCCCTTGCATCATTTACCTACATCTTCATGCATTGTCACGTTGAATTTTATTAATTTCTCAAATTCATTGCTGTTGAGTTGGAACACACTTCCAGCTGAACCTCCACTGGGCTTCTAAGGCTAAAAAGTCACAGGGGGATATGACCTATATTTCTTTCAAAGAGCAATTGGTAGATTTGTACTGCTCGAGGCTCAGACTGCGGGTTTATAGCACAACTAAGGTCAATTATCCGGTGACCCTCGTACATTCTGGCAAATGGGCGAGAGTTGGCAATATGGTTTGTATATAAAAGATGAGACCTTTCCTATGAGCTTCCTCAGAGTTAATCAGCTTTTGTTAATTTGTATTCTTCCTTCCTCTCTTACGCCTAAACTATGACAAACTAATTTAAGATTTACAGAGGTTCTCCAGAGCAATTATCCTTAACTGTGAAACATCCATATTGCCTATTTACATTTGTAATTACTCTTCCAACAATCATTGAGTGAAAACTGTAATCATACCGCTATTTAGGTACTTGCTAAAAGTTAAAGCCTCACCAAAATCTTAGGAAATATGCATCATTATTACTATTCTTATTTTACTGCTATAGAAATAAGAGGACCTGGAAAACCAAGTTACATGGGTCAAGGTAAAATGTCATTTAATAGTTCAAACCAGAAATGAGAACACTGGTCTAGACATCATTTACCATACGTTGTACCTAGAGTCAAAATTACAGTATTTCTCGCATACATCTCAGTATAAGAAATGTTTTTCAATTGTTTTGAATAAAATAGTATTTCTCACTCCCCAAATATGTCAAAATTGCATGTTTTTAATAGGGATTTTCCTAAAAAACCTGGAATTATTCTCCATTTTAAATTAGCAATTTCCCCTTTTTTTAAGAAATATAAGCATTACTTACTGGTCCAGGGAAAGGTATCTCATTGAATGGGGAAGGTCGGCACTCACACAACAGCACACACAGAGAAGGGGAAGCCTCTGATTCAGAACTTTCTTTTGGCTTTGCATGCAGTTGACTGTCACTCAATTTTACAGCACTATTGTAATAATCATCTAGGTATGAAGATGTACCATGCAGAATTTAAGAGTCAAGGCCTTGGAGCTGAGGGATTTTTAATTTAAGCCACACACCAGTGACTCGATTATATATGTTCTAAAGTACTTCTGCATCTTTTGGGAACGTGGCTCGGTGGGTAAGGAACTGTACTGCCCAACAAAAAGGAACACAGTTTGGAGCCACCAGCTGGTCTGTGGGAAGAAAGATAGCCATGTCTTTAGTGTGTTAAGTGCAGAAAATATTTTTGTATGAAAACGTACACATGTGTGCTTTTGACAAGCACATTAAAACCTAGTGTTTAACTTAAAATACTGATGCAGAAAAGAATGAGGGAAAAGGCAAACATTACTAGTTATATGTTCTTGAGGCTGGAGGGCAGAGTCATGGAGCCATGAAGAATAAAGCTGTCATACAAAGCCCATTTGCTTGTTCTGGGACTGTGCCATGCTGGTAGTGCAAACTACCTCAGGATGTATTCTGGTGGCCTGTATCCCACCTGCATTCACTGCAGATCGCAGATCAGAAGCAGAAATGGGAGCTGCTTTGATAGATTTTAGCAAAACTGACACCAGCCAGCAAAGAATAGGACCATTAAAACACAGCTACAAGAGACTATGTACTTGGGGAAAATGTAGACAATCGAATAATTATAAATCATAATGATTTTAAATAAAAATTTCTAAAAGTCAGCACTTAACACATTTTATCTATCTGGAAAAAGAGCAAAAATCAGTAAAACATATAAAAACCATGTCTTCAAATGCTTTTAAGGCTAGAACTCTTCCTGTTTGTTAATTTATACTAGCACTAATAGGTCAACTTGAGAGTTAGTTGATTACTGAAATAACCAGGAGTAATGGACTTCTGAAGTTAGATTTTTAGATTCTATTAAATGTATTTCTTATCATATTAACACTCAAGTATCAGTCTACTCACTTCTTTAGAAGCTTTAAAAAAAGTCCGAGGTTTAAAAATCTAATCTGATTAAAAAATACTCTTTGGATGCAGTTTTCTTGTCCTTTATATATTAGGAAAAACACTTCCTATGTCTATTCTCCTAAGATGTGTCTTTCAGGTCATTTGTACCGATCTAAATGGCTTTGGATGCTTTCAGATTTTTTTTTATTATTATTTTTTTAAATCCTACCTTTGTTAATGGAATCCCCATGCGATGCAATAGTTAGGTGTTTGACTATTAGCTTAAAGGTTGGCAGATCAAAGCTACCCAGTGGTGCCTCTGAAAACTTTATGGAGCAGGTCTAGTTGGCACACATGGGGTTGAATGAGTTAGCATTGTTAACCGCAACTAATAACAACTACTTTTGGCATGCATTTAAAAATGGCTAAAAAGTAATGGCTCCTCCACCTGAAGGTGGACCTAACTCTAGTTTTAGCCAACTACCCATTCACTGCTGCTTAATCTCTTCTGACTCACAAAGATTCTCCATCGGGTTTCTGGGGCTCTAAATCTTTAGAGGAGAATTTAAATGGTCCGTTTTTCTGCTTTGGAATGGCTGGTGTATTTGAACTACGCCCAATACCGAATACATTATCCTGCCAGGGCTCCTTGATCCAACCACATGCAGTTTGAAATGGTTCCAATATGGTGAATTCCAATGAGAACTGGCCATCTCCACAAGGATATAGAGTTCGTTTTTCCAGAGTAGGATGAAGTGCTTTTTGAAACAAAACATTTACTATAATGCAGTGAACAGAACTTTTTCCTGGACTACTTAATCTTGGAAGACACCCAGTGAGCCTGCCGCTCGCCCTGTGTACTAACGCGTGTCAGCACTACAATGCCAGAAACATAAAGTTGATGAGATGCAGCAGTTCATTAAAGACCAGTCAGGATGTGGTCAGGGAGGAAAATTACAACAAGTGTTGATTGCTGTTCCAGTCAGCATTTTCATCTGTTTTTATAGACAGTACCAGGGAGTTGGAGAGGTTTTCCCCCCCCTGGTGTTTCACTCGGTAAAGAAGTCATAGATTGCCTGTCCACTGACAGGCCACACAATATGAAACAGCATTCAACTTACATCATCCACCAACACGGAAAGGTTACTTGTTACAGTTGGCAAGAGTGCTCTGCACAGATAGGGCAGATGGAGAGCAGCAGGGTGTCAGCTAGTTCTTCTTAGGTAAGCCTTGGGGGGCTGGCAACAGGCAGAAAGAGCACCACGAAGAGTCCGCAAAACAAACATCTGTGAGGGCAGTGCTGACAACAAATGCTCTGCCGCAACAGCGTTAGATAGAAACGGGATTATTTCCTGTGGAGACTGACACTCAATGAATGAGGATCAGACTGACAGATACTAAAAAGATTCTGTAGTGAGTAGCTGGATCACTTTTCTGTTCTATGTGGAAAGACTTCCTTCCCTATAGAGCTTTATGGCTACATCTGTAACAAAGCCACAAGGTCTGAGAATACAGAAAGGGAACAACCGCCATGGTCTCTTCTGTGTGGGTGACACTCAAGGTATATTTATGGAAAATGGAACAAACTGGGATTAGAAAGTAAGGGCTAATAATCAGAAAGCTTATGAATTATTAAACTAATATCAATTAATGGATTGCTCAGTTTCTCTTTTCCTCTGGAAAAAAATGTATTAAGAATTTAGAGTTTGAGTACGTTTAGAATCATTTACTCCAGTACAATTCCATTTTCTTAGGGGAGAAAAAACCAGATGTAAGTGTTGAATATACCATGGACTGCTTAGAGAACGAACAGGGTTCATCCTGATGAGGGTGAAACCAGGCTTCTCTTTGGAGGTTAAGGATTTTGCAGCTCTGTCTGACATACTTTGGGTGTGTTGCAAGGAGGGACCAGTCTTTGGGGAGGGACATTATGCTTGGAAGGGTGGACAGACAGTGAAAGAAAGAAAGACAATAAATGAGATAGATTGACTCAGTGACTGGGGTAATAGGGGTAGGTATGTCAGAGACAATGAAGTTGGCTTAAAATAGTGCAGGGTTCAGGGCTGTTGTACACAGGGTAGCTATGAGTTGCAAGCAACTCAACTCAACATAACAACACCACAACAACATTGACAGTTAAAGAAAATATGCCTTGATTTCTAAAGAACTTCTAATTCATCCCAGAAATGGAAGCCTTGTTAACAGTGTCCTGGAATAAACAATACTAAAGACTAACTTCTTCTCTAACTAGCTGATGTGTAGTGTATGAACATGTGCATGCTTAAACACAGTTAAACAAAGCTTACTGAGATGTTGCTCTGGGAAACAGGCTGGCTACCTCCCAATGTGACTCAAGCTAACAGTGTACCACATTCTGGGCAGGGTTTCTCAATCTGTTTTCACAACAATGATCATCTCTCATCCCTAACAAAAAATTTTCACCTTACTTAAATTAACATCACTTGAAAACAAAATTACGTACATGGACCCAAAGGAAAATGAAAAATATGACAAAGAAACACATGTCTAATTTTCCCTATTCCAATTCCCCTATTTCCTTGGTGATCCCTCAACCAACGTCTTCTTTCAGCCTTACTAGCTTAGAAATCTGGTTTCATCTGTACTGCGAAGCAGAGCCATCCTGTGGGGCAGATTCACACTGTCGACGTTCACAAGTCTGATGTACAACACCAGAAGGCCAATTAGTTGACCATGGGTTGTGTAAATGCCACATGGGCCAAGGGACGCGTGCTGATACCTCATTTCCTTGGTAGGGAAGATCATTATCATGTATCGTGTATCAGCTCCCTTTATTCTTCAATAGAAATGCCCTTGCCAAGGAGATGCCAGTACTGCCAAGTTGTGGCTAAGGCCTCTCTTCTGGACAGTGTCTGGATGGATACTGCCAATTTTTGCCTCAAATGCTTTCCTTTTGGGTGACCAACTCTTTTCCTCAGAGATGTTAATATATTCAATCAGGTTACAAGCAAGTCTCCTTGTTTTTGAAGCTATTCGACCACTTGGGATCACTTTACATCTCCATATTGGTATATCAGGGCTCATGATAAAGTTTAACTCTTAGAAAACAGTTTATTTCTTGGCTTCAGAGGAACGGCTCTGTTGGGCTCATACTGATGGTAGGGGAGTTTTCTATGAGCATAAGCAACGCCCTCGACCACATTATCTGTCAATCTGTCCTACGGTGGGGTCCTGTGTGCTGAGATCTGTCACTGCTATTTTAAATATCGACAGAGTCACTGCTTTTAATTATTTATTGTTGTAAGGAGTCACTGTGTTGACAACGACTCATAGCAACCTTCTGAACAACAGACTGGAACTCTGGCCTATTCTGCGCCATTGTCATGATCTCTGCCTTGCCCACTGCTGCAATTACGGTAATCATTTATTAGATCTGGAGTGTTGAGGGTACCATGAACTGCTAGGAAAACAGATTCATCCTGGAGAGGGTTAAACTGGGCTGCTCCTTGGTGGCAAGGATTCTGAGGCTTCATCTAACATACTTTGGACAGGTTGTAAGGACCGGTCCTTAGAGAGGGACACCATGCTTGGTAGGGTGGAGGGACAGTGCAGGAAAGGAAAGCCCTCTATGAGGTGGATTGATTAAGTGACTGGGGTAATTGGGATGAGTGACAGTAAAATTGGCACAGGACAGAGAAGCGTTCAGGGCTGTTGTACATAGGGTCGCTATGAGTCACAAGCGACTTGACGGCACATAACAACCACAACAACCACAGTTTAAGTGAAATAGCCATCCTGTAGAGCTATGGTTTTATTTAGTGGAACCAGAGAACAGTACAGCTTTGCAATGAAGGCATGCTAAACAGAGACAGTAAGTATCTGAAAATATTGCTGAAAAACACAATTGACTGAGCTAGTATTCAAAACGCGTAGCATGACAGATGTCCTTTTTCCAAGGGTTAACAAATACTATGCACAACACTTGCATTCCCAACAATGGAAACATTTATATCCGAGCAATGGAAATGAAATGAGCAGCCTGACTTTTCAGCCCTTTTAGAAAATGTCTATCTCGTTTGATCACCCTGTTAATGCGGGGTGGAAAGCTTGAGTAATGCTCCCTTGGGAAGATCAGTAATAGTCTGTACAGAGAAGGCCTTCACACATTTGCCTAGAAGTGCTAACCATGGGTCACAGGGGACAGAGGCCTTTACCCATAGCTCTTGTCCTAAATGGACTCGTTGTCAGCTTAGGCTGCCATCATGAATTCACTACTGACAGACAACTTGCTTATATGAAGCTGTACTAGCTAAGAAGGGATGGCATTACATTTTCCCACAATATTTTTTTTCCTCTCAAATGCTTTTATACCAGAAAAGGCAGCCTGGGAAACTGAGCAGACTGCCCGTATCATTTACCTCTTGGTCACACCTCATGGAAAAGTTATAGGCAGCTGATTCTTCAGCAGAATTCACAACATAACCAAGAAATTATCACCCAGACAACAATAGGAAGCTTGTTTCCTTTCACACAGTTCAAACCCAGAACTGTTCTGTGAAGGGCCATTGTCTCTACTTGCTGCGGATCTTCACGAGGTCAGTACCACTGAGTGAACAGAACAACCGCTGTCGGATAGCAGAACGCTTACCACAGCTCACACCCTGGAACAGGTGGGTCACTGATGCACACTGGTACCAGGAAGTGTGATTTCACTTCACTCAAGGAGATTCTATCAGAGGTCCTATTTTTTCTTTAAAAGGAAAGTGTCCCTTTCTTCATGAAAGATGTCCAAATATGAAATGAGTTATATTTCCATCCAGTGGTATATAAAAAATATGCCCATGAAAGGCAACACCCCATTATCATTGGTTGCCTTCCTTAGATTATAGAAATCACTGTGGTGGTTTTATTGATCAATGAACATGCCTCAACATGCCCTTCTCTTAGAAAAATGGAGTCTTATTAATCTGGCCTCTCATTGGTGCCTTCCTTTGTGGAAAAAAATGGAAACTGTCCAGGACATTTCCTTTGTGTTCCTACATCTTTTATCTCAGTTAGGTTTCAGTTCATAGATGATCTTGCTATTCTTTCACTTTGACATATCTTGTTTATTTAGACACAGGGATGCCCAGCTGTGTAGGTTCTAGCAAAGTTTCCCCTTCACTGTATCAAGCACGTAATAGACATCTACACAGTAAGGTCTGCTGGATGAGGGACAGAGTTCTCGTCAGGGATCTTGGCTGAATGAAAAACCAGTATTGAAAAGTCTTTTTCTTTTTCGTTAGGCACACCCTAATCTTTATTTTGTTTTTCTCCCTTCCCCTTCATTTGGAGTGTAGGTCCTGGTGCAGATAGTTAACTACAGTCAGTACATGTAATGTCTCACTGTCTATTCACTTCAGTTTGACCTTCTCTTCACCTATTCAACGTGGACAATTCTTACCATTTGTTTAATACTCAGAAATCTGAAAATTTTGTGGATCACCAGATACTTTAAAAAGTGTTTCCTCAAAAAGTTGAGCACAGAAATTCCATATGACCCAGCTATTCCACTGTTTGGAATATACCCTGAGAAAAACAACTGTTATACAAATGGGGATTTGCACACTGATGTTCACAGTAGTGTTATTCACAATGGCAAAAAGATGGAAAACAGCCCAGATGTCCATCAACAAATGAATGGATTGGGAAATTATGGTATATTCTGGAACACTATGTAGCACTCAGGAGCAACAATTTTAAAAAATTACTAAATATAACACAGGAGAGACTGGAGAGCATTATGCTGAGTAAACAAGCTCCATCTCATAAACATTGCAGAACACCAGTATTGTAAAAAATAGGTTAACTAGTATGATGTGTACAAAAGTCCAATGGGGAAAGGGAAGGGGAGGTTACATGTGGGGATGGGAGATGCCATGAAGTCACAGAGTTTGGTGGGCAGAGGAAAGATCTGAAGGAATTAAGAAAGCTCCAGTGGGGGGCCTGACAAGATGGGATAACAGTGGGCATAGATCAATGGTGACTAATATATAAAAATGTATGGGAATGATTATATGAAATACAATACGAATGAAGGAATGTGAAACATAATTTATACAAATTTTGTATGCAAATAAATATGAATTTTTTAAATCAGTAGGATTTTATAAGAAATGGAGAAACCCATATATAAAAAGAGTAAATTACTGCTATTATATAACATTTGGAGGCAGATGACCAAATTTTAATTACTTTTTTTAAGGTTGCCTCCTTAATCTGAGCAGTAGTCTGTAGGTGGTACAGTGTTTTATCCCCTAGCCACTTCTTTGAGCTTTCATTGAGTTACACTTAAAAACCAATAGTCACAAAACTCTTCATTCTCCTCTAATATTGTTACAGGTGCCTCTAAATTTAGGCTCTTATACAGCATCAGCATTGCTTACAATCAAACACTTCCTTTAACTTCTGATTTGGTTAACGGCTGTCAGTTCAATGTTTGCTATTTACATTTGCTTGGTGTGTGTGTGTGGGTGTGTGTGGGCTCTCAATGGTTAATGGTAATACTCAGTGGTTAATGGTAGTACTTCTCTAGTACTAAGTACTCTCAGACTTCAGATAACCTGTTACATGCTTTATTATCTATTATTACTGGGACTCAAGATGCATAGACCTTGTAGTTTAAAAGGTTGATTGTGTAGAAAACGAAAATGACCACATTAAAAGCTTATGGCTTTGCTCCTTCTCAAAAAGGAAAACTATCCTACCTGGTTGGTAGAAATCAGGCGACAGCTCCCTGGCCACAGCTCTCGCGATGTCACACTCCTGGCGGGCAGCCAGCGCAGCCTGGTCAGCAGCATCCGCTTTAGCCCTTGCGTGCGCAGTCCTACAAAGGGCACAAAAGGGAGAGTCAGCAAAGGCAGCCCGATTAGTGAAACATGAACAAAGAAACCTATGAGCCAAAGAGACGTTGAATATGATCTTATGACCCTAGACCTGGACCTGGACCTGCACCTTCTAAATCAGTTCTGTTGATTTTGTTTGTTATTTCCTCCCACAATCATTTAAAAAAATGCAGTAAAAATTAAATAACAATTTTAAATAAATAGAGGTAAAGCAAATACATTAATGTCATTTTTTAAAAAATAAATTTTTATTTTATAAGGAGGGACCGGTCCTTGGAGAGGGACATCATGCTTGGAAGGGTGGAAGGACGGTGCAGGAGGGGAAGACCCTCTATGAGATGGATTGATTCGGTGACTGGGGTAATTGGGATGGGTGTGTCAGAGGCAGTGCGGTTGGCACAGGGTAGAGCAGGATTTAGGGCTGTTGTTGCTATGAGTCGCAAACAAGTTGACGGCACATAATAACAATATTTCTACAATAATGGTCTTACACAATATTTGTCCTTAAGGGGCTGAGTTAGTCCACTTAATGTTCTCCAGTCTCTCCCAAGTTACAATTTTTTTAAATCATTGCTCTGTTAATGTAGTCTTCATTCCTATGTAAAGTCAGTGAAAGAATCTGACTAAGGAGGGTCTACCTGTGGTGTGCTGAGACGCTAGCTCTTTTACGATGTTGCTGGCCACTACCAGGGATGTGACAGCAGGCTCTGTAAGGTTTTCCACGGCTAGTTCTGGAACTAGCCAGCCAGGCTTTTATTCTGAGCTGCCTCTGCGTGGGTTCAAACCCTCAGCCTTTCATTTGTAGCTGAGCAAATTAATCATGTGCTTATTGTTGTGTGCTGTGGAGTTGATTCTGACTGTAAGACACAGTAGACCTGTCCTAGAGGGCTGCCCCGGCTGTAATCTCGGGGCAGTTCACAAAAGTCTTTGCTCCCACTGAGCAGCTGCTGTTGTGTGTTGTGGAGTCGAGTAGGAACTGACACATGGCTGACTCTTTAGCAGGTTTTCAGATACAGTAAATTGCATGGGAGGAGAATGCCCATCTTTCTTATGCAGAGCTGCTGGTAGATTTGAACTGTGTGCCTCAGCTTCTCACACTAGGTCACAAGAGCTCCCTATCACAGACCAGCGAGTGGGTTCAAACTGCCAATGTTTCTGTCAAAAGATGAACACTTTAAACCCCTGTGTCATCAGGGTGCCTTGTTTGTTGGCTGGGATTCGACCTATCATCATTGTGTTAATGACTGTAGAGCTTGAGTGTTCATAGAAGGGCCATGAGTCATAGTTGAATTGAGAGGCCCCCATGAGTCAACAATAAGAACAAAAACATACTTCAATTAGCACAAGGCATTAGTGTTGGGTTTTTAGTAAAAGCTAAATAATAAATCTAAAAGACATACTGACACTTATTTTAGAGAAACAAGCAAGGAAAAAGTCAGAAAATAGCTGGTCTAAAGGGAGAAGGCACAGGTGACAGCTGGAGGCAGCCAGCAAAACGCATACCTGGGCTGCACAAAGGAAGAAAGGGGCAGGGTTGACCAGGGACCAACAGGGATAACTGGCAGGAGGGCTCATTCACAAATTACCTCCTCCAACTCATTCAGTTTTCTCCTGGGCCATCTCACTCCCACTTAAGACTGAGCTAATACATCAACAAACGGTCGATGCACTAGAATTTAAGCTCTCTGAAGACTGACGTTTAATATTTTGGCTCCTTTGCTATTTCCGTCAACTCACAGAACAATAAAGACTGCATTTGCCTGACACAGCATTTACTGCAGGCCCACTTGAAGAATAAAGGATTTAATGTTGTCACTTCAGAGAGTTGGATAATGACTAGGGAGGATAGAAAAGAGAATTGATGCCTTTGAGCTGTGGTGCTGGAGAGAAGTATTGAGGGTACCAGGGACTGCTAAGAAAACAAACAGATTCATCCCGGAGAGGGTTAAAATGGGCTGCTCCTTGGAGGCAAGGATTTTGAGGCTTCTTTTAACATACTTTGGACATGTTGTAAGGAGGGACCAGTCCTTGGAGAGGGACATCATGCTTGGTAGTGCAGGAGGGGAAGGCCCTCTATAAGGTGGATTGATTCAGTGACTGGGGTAATCGGGATAGGTGTATCCGAGACAGTATGATTGGCACAGGACAGAGAAGAGTTCAGGGCTGCTGTACATAGGGTCGTTATGAGTTGTAAGTGACTCAATGGCACATAACAACTACTTCAGGAGTAGCTATGTAATTTCTTTTTTTAAAAAATGATCACATTTTAATATCAAACTTATTTCTGAATCATGAGACATGATCTTTGTCTATAGGGTACTGGCCTTAGAAGGGACTGGATAGGAAATGTGAAACAGAAACAAAATCAAGAGACAAATACTTTATTCCTAAACAATAAGTTATAGTAACCTACATTTGGTGGCCATGACCTTGATAAAAGATGTTGCTTTGGTCCTTGACATCAATGGCTGGGGATCAATGTATGCACTCTGCTAGGCTCTTCTAGTTTCTCACATTCTCAACTCTCCCTCCGCCCCAAAATTATTTCTCATTTTATCTGCTATTCTTAGCTCAAGCCTAACTATGTCTGTGCATCATTATTAATGAAACTTTCAGAGTACAGTATACTTCCTTATAGTATCTGCTAGCCTCCCCCCCCGTGAGAAATTCACGACAATCTAGTAAAACTTATTCTGATGTAATCACAAACCCATAGTTTAGTTATGTAAATCAGCAGTATTATCACAACAACTTATAATATGCTAAACAGGAAATAGATAATGGACAAACAGATTAATCTTTCTACACATAAATTCTGGAAGCACAGCATGAGTGGAGCTTCAGATTTTTATTTCTAACTCTTTTTGCCTTGTTCCTTCCTGTAATAAACTTCCCACTGAACGCACCACCCTTCCTCAGGGCTCCACAGGAGCAGGCAAAACCACATTCAAATCTGTCACCTGGGCTCTCTCTGTTCAAGAGCTTTGGCAGCCTGGACCTGGTTACAAGAAGCAGAAAAGGAACCCATTCTAAGTTTGTTTTCATGACCAGTTTTGTGTCTACTAACACTGTCCTGACAACTAGTTAGCATAGGAATGCTTATAATTTTAATTGCATTATGTACAATTCCAGGCTCCTTTCAGAGAAAGCCTGTTATTACAAGGTTCTTAGATAATTCAATTCTTGGGTTAAAAAGGGCTCCCATGCGTGGAAAATGCAATTGTCATGGTGTTGCCCTTGACTCTTGAGGGGAAATCATTAAAACTGGCTTTCAACAACTACATTTACTTTTAAAAATAATAGCACAGCACATTTTATTTCGGTTATCTGATATCCTTCCAAGCCTCTGAGTGTATCCACTGGTCTCCTGTTTTCTGGAAATGTATGCAGGACTGAGATTTACCTTGTCGAGTCAGACCACTGGGTATCCCACCTGTTGCTACTACTCTAGCCTTCAACATCTACCTTAAACCCTCGCTTTCCCATCCCTTAGACATCTCTTGGCAAAGAGCCCTGCTCCCTGGCATTTGCCACTTGTTCTGGGCTATTTTAATTCTGGATGAGTTGTGGTAGTAGGCTATATTTAAATTGCCCTGCCCTGTGAAGAAACACGGCAAATGCACGTGGCTCCTTTTCCTTTTTTACATAATCCAATTGTGCCCTGGCTTTGAATCCTGCTTTGTGAGGTTTTCCAGCCTATATATTGCCTTCTCTTCCTCTTAGGAGTTTATATCCCATGGGCAGGTTGGCTATAGTCACCTGGAAAGGAGCGCCCATGGCAAGCGCCCAAAGCGTAGGCATTGAACATTTAAGAGTAAATTAAGAAACACGAACAATAATTGAAGGGTTTGGGCGGAAAAGAGGCCATTGGCTCCTGAGTGCTATCGTGGTATTTTTTTTAATGTTTTAAGATCAATTTCCAGATGAAATAGCAATTTCGTGGTATCGCACACATGTTCAAGGAACCCTTGTGGCATGCATGGTTAAGCATGAGTCGCTGAAATGAAGGTCTATGTCTTTAATCCACCATTCATCCAGTCCTCAGGAAAAGGGAAGGCAGTGAGCTTCTGTAAAAGATCTGCAGCCTTGGGAAAGCCTACAAGGCAGTTCTACTCTGTTCAACAGGGTAAGCTGCAGCTAATGATGGCAGTGGGTTGCTTTTTCTCCCTCACTCCCAAATATTTTCCTGAGAAAGTCTCAAAAGCAATTATACGCACATAAAAACGCAAGCTTCTCATTTCTTAAGTTTCTGAGCTATGTCTGTGTACATCTCAAGACCTTTGGTTTTGCCTGTTCCCCGTTCCCATGGCCCCCATCTACTGCCCTCAGTTATCTATTTCCTGCTCAACAGGGAATCCTTAGATGGTGTAAACGATGGACTATGCTTGGCTGCTGCTACCAAAAAGGCAGGCTGTTCGAGCCTACTAGGGGTGCTTTGGAAGAAATGTCAGATGATCTACTGCTGACATAACTCAGCTCTTAAAGACCTTGTGAAGCCCAGGTTTACTCTGACCCTGACAGGACTGCCCAGGGTGAGAGCCCACAACACCTGGTACTGCTGCTAGACAGATTTTAGAGGGAGTCATGCTGTTACCCTGGAAGAGAAAAATGGCCTCTAATCATGGAAAAGGAAATCAAGCATGATGAGTATATACAGCTCATAAACTCTTGAAGCGATCCTGAAACCGCAAGCGGCAATGAAGCAAGACATTAACTTTGTAGAAAGTTAACTTTTTTTGTGTGTACCAGCAAATCAGATCTGACTGGTACAGAAGGAGATTGCCCCTCCTTCCCCAGCAGAGCATCTGGTGGATTCAAACCATGCACCTCTGGGATTGCAGTGCAGCTTCTTGCCACTAGGCTACCAGAGCTCCCCTAAAAGTTAATTTTACAGAAATATTTTACAAGTCAAATACTTTTTGCCTAACAGTTTTTTTTATTTTAATTTTTTCACACTTTTCTCCCTGCCCACCCCTCCCCACCAGTTCGCTCCTGTCTCCGAAAAGAAAAAAATTTCCTTCATTGGTATACAATTCGCCCATCCCTTCCCCCCCACCCCCCACCCCGAGTACACTTCTCTATGCGACCTTAATTCTGGATTCCTGTGCTAACCATAATACTCAATCATATATCACCTCTAATCTAACAGTCTTAATGCGCATGAGGCTGGAACTCGTCTGCTCATTATGATGCAGTGAAATAAAAATCCAGGCCTGTTATAATCAGATCCATCTAGTAGGTCTCAAAAGCCAACGCAATGCCCTTGAGTCTGATTCAACGCATAGCTAACCCTCCACTGGGTTGCCCAGACTATGAACAGCACAGGACAAGGATGCCCACCTTTCCTCCCTCAGATCCACCAGTGGATTCAAACTGCCAGACAGGGGCCTTTGAGTTAGTGGCGCCGCTCTCTACAGGCAACACCAAGATCAAGACCAGAATTTCGGCCTATTTGGTTTGAAATGTTAAAATATGTCTTGTGTCAGCCAATTTTCTACCTGAATTCTGGCTGAATAAATGCCACCCTTTGTGCC